GTAGTGTGTATATATATATACACACTACTGTTCAAAAGTTTGGGATCAGAACGATTTTTAATGTGGAGTTTCTGAGTTTCTTATTCTCATCAAGGCTGCATTTATTTGATCAAAAATACAGGAAAAAATGGAATATTGTGAAACGATGTAAAAATGTAAAATAAAGTTTTTTTCTATTTTAATATACATTAAAATCTAATTTATTCCTATGATCAAAGCTGTATTTTCAGCATCATTCCTCCAGTCTTCAGTGTCACATGATCTTCAGAAATCATTCTCATATGCTGATTTATTATCAGTGCTGGAAACTGTTGCTGCTTCATATTTTTTTGGAACCTGTGATACTTTTTTCAGGATTCTTTGATGAATAAAAAGTTAAAAAGAAGAGCATTTATTTAAAATAGAAATCTTTTCTAACAATATACACTACCGTTCAAAAGTTTGGGGTCAGTACATTTTTATTCTTTCTTTTTTTGAAAGAAATTAAAACTTTTATTCAGCAAGGATATGTTAAATTGATAAGAAGTGATAGCAAAGATTTATATTGTTAGAAAAGATTTATATTTTGAATAAATTCTGTTCTTTTTAACTTTTTATTCATCAAAGAATCCTGAAAAAGTATCACAGTTTCCAAAAAAATATTTGGCAGCACAACTGTTGCCAGATATTCTAACACAGTGATGGAGATTTACTACAGATTACAGAACCGGCTTTACTGACGAGATGCGCATGACAATCACATTCAATTAATTGTGCAGCCCTATTATGCAAAGTTTGATAAAGATTTTCATTGTAGTTTTAATAAAAAATTGTTTTGTCATTTTTATTAATATTTGTATAATTGTAGTTGAATGTATTTATATATATATATATATATATATATATTTAATAGTTTTTATTATATTTTCCATTTTCTTTTTAATCTCAGTTTTAGTAATTTTGCTGTCTTTTTATATAGTTTTTAATAATTTTAAGAATTTTTATGCTTTTATTTACATTTTTATATTATATTGTAATTTTTATTTGAATGTTTTTATTTTCATTTTAGTAAAAGTTTTAGAAATGTTTTCTTTATGTAGTTTTTATTTCTTTATCGTTATCGTTTTTTAAATGTGTACAGTTTTTATTCATTTTTAATTCAGTTGTAGTTATTTTAGAACTTCAAGTTCAACTAAACAAAGAATGATAAATGTTGCCTTTGCAACTAGCTGAAATAAAATAATTTCAGATAATGTTTATTTTAAACATATATTTATTTATTTATTCACAACGACAAAGCTTTGGTTTCTCATGACACTCCGTCAAACCTCAAGAACATCAGCTGTCAAACACACACATGCGTCTTTTTCCTTCTGGAGTAGTCTGCAGGTGTAGGAGACGTGAGGTTGTTGCTCTACGAGACCCAGAAATGGATATCCAGTCATTATTACTCACTCACTACTAGCATCACAACGGTGAGTTTTGCACCCATAAACAGCGTTCATGTTTCCTTCACTGTTCTTAAAGGTTCCTCTCCAGACATGTAAAAGTTCATCCGGCTCTCGACGGCCGCAGAATTTCTGATCTCGGAGTCTCACCTCGGTGACCAATTAGACACAGACTTTCAGCACTAAATGTCAGACGAAGAGGCCAAACGCAATCAAAAGAACCGGCCGCGCTGTTGTCATGGAAACGCTCCGAGTTTCCCTCCTTAAGTCCTGCTTGACCTTTGCTGCAGGATTTGTTGTGTGAGGCGGACCCTGAGTGACCTTACGTCAAGTTTAATTTGATTCGCACTGATATCATTTCCACTTTCATTGTTGGCAGCTTTTGACTTCTCTCTTGTGTTTTTTCGATGTTGTTGGCATTTAATGATTCGCCGGTGTGAATAAAGCGAGACAGAATCGATTGGAGAGACTGTTTGGGGTTTTAATTTTTACCACGAATGAAAGTCGTGCACGTTGACCCTTAAATAAACGTCTGATGTAACTTAATGGCTCTGAAAGAAACTTTATTAGACTTTGAATAGATCACTTTTTTTTTTTTTTGTATGTAAAAGTAAAAACATAAATTATTTTTTTTTTTTACAAGAAAACACTTTCAGTCTTTCTACTTAAAAAAAAAAAAATTGTTTAATTCAATGTCTTGCTTGTCATTTCATTATCTGTGAAATTTACTAACAATTTCTGAGTGGAAATTCTAAATCCTACACTTTTTTTTTTTTCAGTGCAGAGTAAAGAGTTTAAAATATTAATTTAATATGAATTAGACTCATCATTCTTGACCAATTAAAGACAACATTTGAGCTGCTAGGCCCCGCCCATTCTCACATCCCACAGTTTCATATTAGTTGTCATTATAGTTTATGCTAAGTCGATTACATTTTTTTCTTCAAATGAAAATCATGTCTTTTGACCCATAAATTAGCTGGTGTGTGACTAAAACAGGTCTTTTTCTCTTGTTTTGTGCATTTCATCTCTGCTCTAGCATCTCGTTTTTATTTTGTTTTATTTTATTTTATTTAAACCTGTGTATTCTGAATATTTTTAATCTATAAAAATTGCTTGTGATTTTCTTCATTTTGTAAATCACTTTTGGATAGAAACGTCTGCTAAATGAATAAATAATTATGAAAAATTCTTGACCAATCAGAGACAACATCTGCATTGCTAAGCCCCGCCTTTTCTTGGGTAGTTGTCGTCGTATTTTACCCTAACTGTATTAAAATTTTTTACTAATAATGAAAGTCATGCCTTTTGACACAAATTAGCTGACATGTGACTTATTACTGGCTTTGAAATAAACTTTAATAGGCATAGAATAAATAGTGCAGAGTACAAAGTTTAAAATGCTTTAAATATGAATTACTCCCATTATTATTATTATTTTTACTCCTACTCCTAAAATAGTTTTTTTTTCATCTGTTCTTGCATATTTACTAATCTAGTTTTGTATATATATATATATATATAACCTGCCACTGTGTATTGTTAATATTTTTTCCTCTTTGAAAAATATCTTATGATGTTTCTTAGTGTTATTTTAGTATCGTCTAAATAATACTATGATAGCTTTATTATATTTTAATTACTAGTATTTCCATTTGAATTTTAGTTAAAGTTTGAGCTTGTTTTTTGTCCTTTTTAGTAGTTTTTTTTCAATATAAGTCTATATTGTTTTAATTAATTGTTAATAAGTTTTAGTTATTTTAGTACATCATTGAACAAAGTTAAAATAAAAATGTTGCCTTGGCAATTAGCTAAAATAAAATAAAAAAATATTTTATAATTTAATTTTATTTTGTAACCCTGGTTCTTCATTTGTAAATCACTTTGGATAAAAACATCAGCTAACTGAATAAATATCCATGAAAAGTCTTGACCAATCAGAAACAGCACCTGCATTGCTAAGCCCCGCCTTTCCTGCACTGCTTGTCCTTGTGTTTTGGGCTAATGTTCTGAGCGTGTAATTATTCTGGTGATGTGTGTTTCAGACGCGCGTGCAGCACTGCGTGTGTTCGGTGGCCAGCGATCACTCCGTCGGTCTGCTGAGTCTGAGGGAGAGGAAGTGCATCATGCTGGCCTCCAGACATCTCTTCCCCATCCAGGTCATCAAGTGGAGGCCGTGTGACGATTATCTGGTGGTGGGCTGCTCCGACGGGTCCGTCTACGTCTGGCAGATGGACACAGGTGAGCCTGGGCTCGGGGGTCAGAGGTCAGAGGTCATGCTCATGGTTGCCTAGCAATGGTGCATCTTGGTTCATTAATACTGAATTCAGGTAATGTGTATATATACAGTATATTAGCTATGTTCCAGATTTCATCAGATTTATAACGTCTTATTGATTTGAAATCAAGTGTTTTGTAATGTGAAGCTGTTTAGCACTGATAACTCAGACCTAGAGTTATTCATTTATCCTTGATTAGAGATTTTGTAAATTTATTTTATATTGGTTGCTACCGGATATTTTTTTTGTAATTATTTATTTAAAGGAATTTAATTGCAGTAATGTTTCATTTTAATGTTTAAAATAAATAGAATATATATATATATATATATATATATATTTATTTTTATTTTTTTAAAAATTTTTTTTAATGATTAATTGTAGTTTTTAGTGTTTAGAATTTTTTATTTATTTAGACTAAATAGTATACAATTTTTATGTCGGTCATAACATTTGTCAGCCGTAATATAAATATACATAAAATAAAATAATAATTAGTTACTGATATTTGCCAGAATTGTAAAATTGTGTGTTTCTAATGATTAATATTCTGATCTATTTTTGTCACCAATCAAATGCAATAAAGTGTCTTTCATTTGTACAATAATAATTCACTTGATTATACAAAAATATATATGACCACATTTAATATATACGTTAAATAACAAGTGTTAATTTTATGGCATCGTTAATATACTCTTATATAGTTGTTATTAATATAAAAATGTGATGAAGCATCTTTCATTTGTAAAATATTTAGTTCACATGATTATTTATGTAATATAAGACACAAGTGTAATACAATTTTTATAGCATTTATTTACTATTCTAGTATTTATTATTATTTTCAGTTAGATTTTGTTTTTATATTTACTGTTTTTATATTAATTTTAGATATTTTTTTCTGTTTAGCTTTATAAACAAATCATAAACATAATATATTTTAGTTTCCAAGACAACATCTCTATTTTCCTCATCTAATTTTTATATATATATATATATTTTTTTTTCTTTTTTCTTTAATAGTTTTAGTTAACAATAGCAACACTGTATAAGTCATATTTGGAATTGAATTTCGGGACGTGTACGGTTACCGTGATGTAAGGTTTTGGTCATATGGGTGATGGTGAGTGTGGGAGGAAGTACTTAACCCTCTTAGCAAAAATTGCGACAAGACGTCATTCTTAATAAAATAGACTGTAGTTCCTAATATGATGTAATATCTCATTTGTATTCCCTACCACTAGACAGCAGACATGTAGTACTTGGATTCTAGACCTTCCTATTCAAAGTGTTTGAGGAAAGAGCAGAGCAAGTGAGCTATCGTGTCATTGATGCGGAAGCAGTTCAGTTCATAGCGTGCGAGTAAGCTGTGAGATTTGTGAGAGAAAATCGCCAAATGGCTAATAGAAAGTTGTACCGTGAGGATGTGTTGCAAATGTTATTCGCCGATTCTGACTCTGAAGGGGAATATTTGCCTTTTGGAAATGACGATCGGTCGTCTAATAATCGCGCTCCTCCCGGTACATCTTTGCAGCGCAGTGGTGCCGTCGTGCAAGGCGCGAGTGTTCACGAAGCACAAACAAGTGATCATTTCGACCCTTTACCCAACGGGGATGGGGGTGGCAGGGCAATATCTATTATTTCCTGAATATTACTGATGAACTGATCAAAAAGTAGGCTACTGTTCACATGCGTTTTACTACTATATAGTATAGTAATATAGTAATAATTTAGTACTTTCTCCTGTTTTATTGTTGGTTTCCTCTTTTCTGATCATTTGGAATGAGGATAAAAAGACAAAAAAACATGCAAATAAGTTCAAACATCAATTCAATATCTATTATTTCCTGAATATTATGACATTCAAGAGGTTAGGTTAACCCTAACCCTAACCCAAACTAACCCTAACCCTAACCCCCTGATGACGTAATGCTAATTAGATGAGTATATTTACACCCCACATAAACGTTCGGTCATGCCCAACATTTTTCTAATTTACATTAGATCTCTATCTTTAAGCCCTTTCAAGCCACAAGCTTTAGAAATCTTGATGTCAAAATCCAGCATTTTTCCAAAAAAACTCTGGCGCCTAAAGGGTTAAAGCTCTGTGTCTTATTTTGAGGAGGATATTTGCCTAATAATCATTTACTATCCACCTGTCTCACTCTGTATGTCTGCGTCCCATTAGAGACACGACAGAGAGCTGCTGAATCTCTGTCTCTCTCTCCTGCTGCATTAGACGCATTAGTGTTTTATGAATCCACTTACAGCCGGGTATTATGGGAGCTGAGTAGAAGAGGAAACACACACTCTCTCATGAGCTGCATCAGTGTTTGATGAGTGTAATGGGTTCGTCTGGAGCTCATTTTGATGGGTGAACACACAGATACAGAGACTGATGCATGCATAGACACACCAGTGTTATTTTACTATCATTAATATGCTTTTGCAGTTTGTATTAATATTTTATATATGTTTTGTCTTTTATTTTATTTAGCTTTTAATTAAATTTTATATATATATATATATATATATATGTATATACAGGTGCATCTCAATAAATTAGAATGTCGTGGAAAAGTTCATTTATTTCAGTAATTCAACTCAAATTGTGAAACTCGTGTATTAAATAAATTCAGTGCACACAGACTGAAGTAGTTTAAGTCTTTGGTTCTTTTAATTGTGATGATTTTGGCTCACATTTAACAAAAACCCACCAATTCACACTCTCAACAAATTAGAATATGGTGACATGCCAATCAGCTAATCAACTCAAAACACCTGCAAAGGTTTCCTGAGCCTTCAAAATG